GGCGTGGGCAGGAGGGCTGAGCAGGCAGCGGCTGGGCATTTCCATCGGGGGACAGCACCCCAGGTCACACGCGGTGGCCGGAGACCACCAGACTGAGGCCAGCGCCGTGCCCCGCGCCTCGGCGTTTCGCCGCTCCACGGCGTGGGTTCCCCTGCGCTCTCCTTGCTGTCATTTCTGCCATCTAGAGGGGACGCTTCCCCATTGCAAATGCGTCCCTCAAAGCAGAACGGAACCCCACGATTCGGGGGGGAATGGGGGGAAATCAATAAATAAATAAATAAAAAATAATCAAAAAATAAAAAAATAAAAAAAATGAAAAAATCAAAAATAAAATGGTGTATAAATGTCAGGTCTTAACTATACATTCCTGTATCTTCTCCCAGTCCCATCTATTCACATATTTATAAGGATGATTTTTAAACTTGCTTCTGACAGCAAGTAAGAATAATTGGCAAGCTGGTTCACTTTATTTTCCTTGCACCAGGACACCTTGGTCTGAAATGTTGCTGCAAGCAGAATTCTAAGCAGCAGGACTAAATGGACCTTTTTGTCTCAGAAGAGCTTCTGTGAATGAGGCGCTCTTAGCTACTGCTGAGAATTAACAGTATTTCAGCATCCTGTGATCAAAGAGGCACCAACTTGGCCAAAAAAATGCAGTAGTAGTAGCAGCAGTAGTAACCTCTTAGCCAAATGTGCTCATCAGCAGAATTTCTCTTGTGAAGAAGATAGTCAGCAGCAGCCCCTCGTAGCAAAGCACAGCACAGTGGAGCAATCAATCGCTTGCTCCCCAGGAGCAGGGCCGTGTGGCTTGCAGTGCAGGATGTGCTTGGTGACCTTCCAGGCTCTAAGCAGAAAAGCTGAAAAAGTTATGATGAGCTAAAAATTGTGCCCACTTGGACTGGGTTTAAAAAAAAAAAAAAAAATTAAAAAAAAAATAAAAAAATAAAAAAATCACAGCCCATCGCTCCTGGCCGCAGCAATTCACACCCTCAGGATGGGGAAAGCCGGACGCGATGAAGCAGGTACACCCCCAGAAAATTTCCAGGGAGCATTTTTTCCTGCTTGCTCACCCAAAGCTAGAACCTCGCAACATGAAGCCCATGACAACAGAGAGGAGGATTTCACAGTATAATGTATCAAAGCTGTATTTAAAGCACCCAAACGGAGGCAAACGATCAAAATCATCATCAACTCCCATCTTTTTAAACGCCAGCGAGGCACTAAAAGGTTGCCCAAGGTCTGGTTCTGCTTATTGGTGTCCACAACATGGAGGATGGAGCTTGGTCAAGTGGGACGGAGCTGGACTGAGAGGGACTGCAGCTGGGTAAACCAGAGATGGGGTATGAAGAGGATGGAACCCAAGAGTCGAGTTTAAGGTACAGCCATGCCCAGGGAAGACGTGGGTTTGGGGAGGAAAATACCACAGCCTGGCACGGCACGGTCCGGCCGGTCGTGGTCTGCACGATGCCAGCTTGATCTGGGTTCAGTTTGGGGGGAAACGGATGGAAGCCCCCACCCGTGGGATGGCAGCTCCGTGGGATTTGTCATGCATGAGGTTCAACAAGGCCAAGTGCCGGGTCCTGCACTTTGGTCACAACAACCCCATGCAGCGCTACAGGCTTGGGGAAGAGTGGCTGGAAAGCTGCCTGGCGGAAAAGGACCTGGGGGTACTGGTTGACAGCCGGCTGAATATGAGCCAGCAGGGTGCCCAGGTGGCCAAGAAGGCCAATGGCAT